GGCTCAATTTGGTAAGACATGGTGTCCCGCTGGGATTTCCCCGGTTGTGGCTCACGGTATTTGTACGTAACATATATTCGTTGTTAACAAACTGAAATAGAGAACACAATACGCTACTATAACATAACTTATACTGAAGACAATTATTGCAGATCATAAAACTGATTAGGTACGCAGTACTGCCAATTAATAGATTGAAATGGTTCCTTGGAATTTCAAATGGCTACATAACTGAGCGTTCAATAAAAATGTTCTATTCAGGGATGCACTGCAGTTCGTGGTTTAGACTTTATTATAGTGATATATAATGAATTATTTTTGATTGTCAGAAAACAATTTGATCTTGGTGATAAAAGTAAAAGTTTGCATGATATCACGCGATAAACGGTAGATTCGTAGGTAACATGTGTATTCGTTGGTAACATTCCGTATTTGTAGGTAACATCAGTCAGTGTGTTTGAAGTTGTATGTATTGCCCAGGGCTGTCACCGATGCACTTGCGAATATAGGAGAATTGAGACTGTAGTAGAACTTAGTTGCATGGGTTTAGTAATTAGATTTGTCAAAGGTATGTCTTATTCAATAAATGATAAAAACCAGTGAAAATTGGCGAATTCTGAACAAAACTACACACCAAAACGCAGCTGTTCACATGTACGATATTTGCACATGCTTTTCATCAATTTGATGCATGATCCTCGTGCAATTCATCTGCATAAGGTTTGCAGTTGGTTCTACCAAGTTAGTGGAGAAATCGATCTTCAAAGTAACCACATATATATACACATACCATATACACATACCATATACACATATATACACATACCATATACACATACCATATAGTGAGTGTTTCTAGTGAGTCTAAACTTTTGATGAAACGTATATTTCCATCAGTTAAAATGACATTGCTATTTCCGACATACACTGAGACAAAAGAAAGAGAAAGCCTTAATCTGGTTGTACAAAATCTTTATTCACATGTCCTATGCATTTAGATAAACAATTTCCAAACTGTTTTAATAAACCACCTATGATTTAGTTTGACATATATAAACCTTTATGAAATACAAGGAATAATGTGATATTTGTTACCTACAAGTACATTGTTTTTTATCTTCCACCCAGAATTTGATGCATTTTCAAATTTGTTGTTCTTACCGAAAGTTCCACCCGTTGTCTCTCAGATGAGTGAGTGAGTGAGTTTAGTTTTACGCCGCACTCAGCAATATTCCAGCTATATGGCGGCGGTCTGTAAATAATCGAGTCTGGACCAGACAATCCAGTGATCAACAGCATGAGCATCGATCTGCGCAATTGGGAACCGATGACATGTGTCAACTGAGTCAGCGAGCCTGACCACCCGATCCCGTTAGTCGCCTCTTACGACAAGCATAGTCGCCTTTAACGACAAGCATGGGTTACTGAAGACCAATTCTAACCCGGGACCTTCACGGGTCGTCTCTCAGATGAATAAGATAGATATGTAACAATGATTTGTTTGTGAAAAGAACACTAAGTGGTGCTATCTCACTTACATCAAACAAAGGTTTATAAAACACGAAAGAAAACATGGTATGGCTTCAGAGTTTCTATAGTCATTAACATATTGTGCATGCAGAACAACAGTGATTTTGGATGTTAGGCAACATACAATCCATCTAATCACAGGATATACAAGGTATGATGTTGGTATTTGTAGGTAATTCAGAAAATGAGCCTTCAACTTCACTGATCCACCAACTTGTCACTTTTAGAGATTAGTGATGGGAACTGATTTTCATAAGAGGCAAATATGTTGACTTTACATTGGTAAAATGAATTACAAGGTGCAAGCAATTCTATTTTGGACCCCTTGTACCTAGCTGTGTACACTTTTCGTTGGAATCGACCATATGCGTGTGCTATATTCATTTCAACACATTGTTTATTTATATTCGAAAGGTGAAGTTTAAATGGAAGTGGGTAATATTTTTACATATAATTACAGAAAATAACGTCTCTGAATACACAACCGCAGAGACAATGGTGTTTGGTACATACCCGAAGCCTTGTATTGATAGGCGGAAAAACCTCTGTATAATTTGGGCAAAACAGGTTCCATTTTGAAGGGATTAAGATTTTTCTGAATAAAGTGATTCTGCTTACTGACGTAATATACTTGTTACACATATTGTGTTTGTCCACCCCTGGAACCTGTGAGACACAACTGGACACGGGTCTGGTTACGTCACTTTCTCTGGCAGTTGATGATGATCTTAACTCCCTCTCTGCGTCTCGATGCTTCGAAGGCGTCAAGAGCCTCCTCCAACCTGTATCTGTGAGTGATGAGCTGCCTCACGTCCACCTGACCACTGGTGACCATGGCCAGAGCTACAGGGTACCTGGAAAGAAGGGTTCAGCTGCAGGAAAGGGTGATGGAATATCATGTGTTTATTGTCCCTAGCAAGGTATCAGCACTTTATCAAATACAAAAATTGTTTTGATGCAACGGTTTATTCACTGAGTGAACGGATGTTTATTCTCCACATATTTGGTAACGATATAGTTCAGCCCCTTCATTGGGCCTATCTATCGTAACGTCTGATGCTGGTACTCATGATATAAATCAATCGTATTAGATGTCTACACTTACACATTGGCAAACCTGATCATTCCGAATATGTCGATCTCTCTACACTGTGCGCTTATCAGTGGCAGCTGTACCTCTGCTGGCCCAAGTCCGACCAGAACAATCCTCCCTCCTGTTGCTGTGGCCTTTGGAAAGACAAACATATATGGCCAGCGTATGGCAACACACATACACATGGTTGAAAAGACACTCTAGTCAGTGTTTCAACATATGGTGACACTTACATATTTGGCTGTGACGACCCTCAAGTCAGTGGTTCAACATATGGTGACACTTACATATTTGGCTGTGGTGGCCCTCTAGTCGGTGTTTCAACATATGGTGACACTTACATATTTGGCTGTGACGACCCTCTAGTCGGTGTTTCAACATATGGTGACACTTACATATCTGGCTGTGACGACCCTCTAGTCAGTGTTTCAACATATGGTGACACTTACATATTTGGGTGTGCTGGCCCTCTAGTCAGTGCTTCAACAAATGGTGACACTTACATATTTGGCTGTGACGACCCTCAAGTCAGTGTTTCAACATATGGTGACACTTACATATTTGGCTGTGGTGACCCTCTAGTCAGTGTTTCAACATATGGTGACACTTACATATATGGCTGTGGTGACCCTCTAGTCAGTGTTTCAACATATGGTGACACTTACATATTTGGCTGTGACGACCCTCAAGTCAGTGTTTCAACATATGGAGACACTTACATATATGGCGGTGGTGACCCTTTAGTCAGTGTTTCAACATATGGTGACACTTACATATTTGGCTGTGGTGACCCTCTAGTCAGTGTTTCAACATATGGTGACACTTACATATTTGGCTGTGGTGACCCTCTAGTCAGTGTTTCAACATATGGAGACACTTACATATATGGCGGTGGTGACCCATCTGTGACGTCAGTGTTTCAACATATGGAGACCCTTAGTGTTTCAACATATGGTGACACTTATATGGCGGTGGTGACCCTCTAGTCAGTGTTTCAACATATGGTGACACTTACTATATGGCTGTGACGACCCTCAAGTCAGTGTTTCAACATATGGTGACACTTACATATATGGCTGTGGTGACACTTACATATATGGCTGTGGTGTTTCACCCTCTAGTCAGTGTTTCAACATATGGTGACACTTACATATTTGGCTGTGGTGACCCTCTAGTCAGTGTTTCAACATATGGTGACACTTACATATATGGCTGTGGTGACCCTCTAGTCAGTGTTTCAACATATGGTGACACTTACATATATGGCACACTTTACATATGGTGACCCTCTAGTCAGTGTTTCAACATATGGTGACACTTACATATTTGGCTGTGGTGACCCTCTAGTCAGTGTTTCAACATATGGTGACACTTACATATATGGCTGTGACGACCCTCAAGTCAGTGTTTCAACATATGGTGACACTTACATATTTGGCTGTGGTGACCCTCTAGTCAGTGTTTCAACATATGGAGACACTTACATATTTGGCCTCTAGTGGTGACCCTCTAGTCAGTGTTTCAACATATGGTGACATATGGCTGTGACCCTCTACAGTGTTTCAACACATATTGGCTGTGGTGACCCTCTAGTCAGTGTTTCAACATATGGTGACACTTACATATATGGCTGTGGTGACCCTCTAGTCAGTGTTTCAACATATGGTGACACTTACATATATGGCTGTGGTGACCCTCTAGTCGGTGTTTCAACATATGGTGACACTTACATATTTGGATGTGGTGACCCTCTAGTCGGTGTTTCAACATATGGTGACACTTACATATATGGCTGTGGTGACCCTCTAGTCGGTGTTTCAACATATGGTGACACTTACATATTTGGCTGTGGTGACCCTCTAGTCGGTTTTTCAACATATGGTGACACTTACATATATGGCTGTGGTGACCCTCTAGTCGGTGTTTCAACATATGGTGACACTTACATATTTGGCTGTGACGACCCTGAAGTCAGTGTTTCAACATATGGTGACACTTACATATTTGGCTGTGGTGGCCCTCTAGTCAGCGTTTCAACATATGGTGACACTTACATATTTGGCTGTGGTGGCCCTCTAGTCAGCGTTTCAACATATGGTGACACTTACATATTTGGCTGTGGTGGCCCTCTAGTCAGTGTTTCAACATATGGTGACACTTACATATTTGGCTGTGGTGGCCCTCTAGTCAGTGTTTCAACATATGGTGACACTTACATATATGGCTGTGGTGACCCTCTAGTCGGTGTTTCAACATATGGTGACACTTACATATTTGGCTGTGGTGACCCTCTAGTCAGCGTGTTAACGTGTGATAACTCTTAATATACGGCTGTGGTAACCCTCTAGTCAGTGTTTTAACGTGTGATAACACTTACATATATGGCTGTGCTGACGCTAGACGGCGCACCACTACACTCAATAGTAACATCAGCAGCACCTCCAAGTGAGTCCTGGATGACTCGTGCTGTTTGTTGTGGGTCCCCCGCCAACACAGTGTGGTCAGCGCCAACCTTTTTGGCATACTTCAGTCTGTCTTCATTGATATCTGCAATAAAGCAGTGCATACAACATAGGCGGAAGGATCTCCTGACACTCTTCACCTATGTGGGAAGTCTTACATCTTGTGCCAGATACATCGCTTCACAGTAACTTACGAGCAACACGGATAATTCCGAGTTACAAGCAATATGCATTTTAAAATTGACTTTCTATTTTGTCGGGTTCATTAATGTATGAAGCAATTCAGCCAATGAGAATGCAGTCATTACAATGATCCCGACGCAAATATATTTGATGGATGTGGTGATCAGATGGAGGAGAATTCTATGGAATGTCAGCTTCTATTATGAGGAATACAGCTACTCGGAGTGTATACTTACCCCTTCACCACATCCATAAACTCTCTTCCTTATATGTATCACTTCTAAATGCCATTCAAAGACCTATGGTAATCAGGCTGTATAGTTTTGCTGATTGCGTGTCCCCGTGGCCCCGTCTCTCGATTCAGGGAAAGGGTACAAACATTTGGGTTTGTCGATCGCAAGTAAACACATAGCTGTGTGTTACGTCATTAATAGATTATGCTAAATTGAATCTTTTGCGACGATACGTTGACATTTTCCTATAGGTTTCTTCGAAAGCATTGAAAACGTAAACCAGGAATAGCACGAAGCTAAACATTTCAAAGCTCAGTGAGGAATAGTTTCTCCTTTACCACCGCTTTTTTTAAACACATGGTCCACAAACCTGTAATTATTATCTTCCCAGCTCCTCGTGCGCGTGCCGTCAACAGACAAGCAAGACCAAGAGGCCCTGCAATAGTATAAGTTCAATATCTGTTAATATACTTCACGGAAATCAGAAACATAACATGCATGATCAATGCCATTTTGGTACCATCGTTTCTTTGTTATATTTTCCACTTTTGTCCCCTATAAAACAACACAAACACTTCTGTTTGGCTTAACTGCGGTAACAAACTCGCCTAATAGTATCAAGTGTACTTTTGGACGTTGGTAACAACACCCCCTACGGGTATCAAGTTTGCTACATAATATTGGTAACAACATCCCCTACCGGGTATCAAGTTTGCTTCATAATATTGTTAACAACATCCCCTACCGGTATTAAGTTTGCTTCATAATATTGTTAACATGATCCCCTACCGGTATCAAGTTTGCTTCATAATATTGTTAACAGCATCCCCTACCGGTATCAAGTTTGCTTCATAATATTGTTATCATGATCCCCTACCGGTATCAAGTTTGCTTCATAATATTGTTAACATGATCCCCTACCGGTATCAAGTTTGCTTCATAATATTGTTATCATGATCCCCTACCGGTATCAAGTTTGCTTCATAATATTGTTATCATGATCCCCTACCGGTATCAAGTTTGCTTCATAATATTGTTAACAGCATCCCCTACCGGTATCAAGTTTGCTTCATAACATTGTTATCATGATCCCCTACCGGTATCAAGTTTGCTTCATAATATTGTTAACAGCATCCCCTACCGGTATCAAGTTTGACTGATAATATTGGTAACAGCATCCACTACCGATATCAAGTTTGCTTCATAATATTGTTAACAGCATCCCCTACCGGTATCAAGTTTGACTGATAATATTGGTAACAGCATCCCCTACCGGTATCAAGTTTGCTTCATAATATTGTTAACAGCATCCCCTACCGGTATCAAGTTTGACTGATAATATTGGTAACAGCATCCCCTACCGGTATCAAGTTTGATTGATAATATTGTTAACAGCATCCCCTACCGGTATCAAGTTTGATTGATAATATTGTTAACAGCATCCCTACCGGTATCAAGTTTGACTGATAATATTGTTAACAGCATCCCCTACCGGTATCAAGTTTGATTGATAATATTGTTAACAGCATCCCCTACCGGTATCAAGTTTTATTGATAATATTGTTAACAGCATCCCCTACCGGTATCAAGTTTGATTGATAATATTGTTAACAGCATCCCCTACCGGTATCAAGTTTGATTGATAATATTGTTAACAGCATCCCCTACCGGTATCAAGTTTGATTGATAATATTGTTAACAGCATCCCCTACCGGTATCAAGTTTTATTGATAATATTGTTAACAGCATCCCCTACCGGTATCAAGTTTGACTGATAATATTGTTCACAGCATCCCCTACCGGTATCAAGTTTTATTGATATCATTGTTTGCAGCATCCCCTACCGGTATCAAGTTTTATTGATAATATTGTTAACAGCATCGCCTACTGGTATCAAGTTTGACTGATAATATTGTTAACAGCATCCCCTACCGGTATCAAGTTTTATTGATAATATTGTTAACAGCATCCCCTACCGGGAACAAGTTTGACTGATAATATTGTTAACAACATCCCCTTCCGGTATCAAGTTTTGTTGATAATATTGTTAACAGCATCCCCTACCGGTATCAAGTTTATTGATAACATTGTTCACAGCATCCCCTACCGGTATCAAGTTTTATTGATAATATTGTTAACAGCATCGCCTACTGGTACCAAGTTTGACTGATAATATTGTTAACAGCATCCCCTACCGGTATCAAATATTATTGATTACATTGTTAACAGCATCCCCTACCGGTATCAAGTTTTATTGATAACATTGTTCACAGCATCCCCTCCCGGTATAAAGTTTTATTGATAATATTGTTAACAGCATCCCCTACCGGTATCAAGTTTGACTGATAATATTGTTAACAGCATCCCCTACCGGTATCAAGTTTTATTGATAACATTGTTCGCAGCATCCCCTACCGGTATCAAGTTTTATTGATAATATTGTTAACAGCATCGCCTACTGGTATCAAGTTTGACTGATCATATTGTTAACAGCATCCCCTACCGGTATCAAGTTTTATTGATTACATTGTTAACAGCATCCCCTACCGGTATCAAGTTTTATTGATAATATTGTTAACAGCATCCCCTTCCGGTATCAAGTTTTGTTGATAGTATTGTTAACAGCATCCCCTACCGGTATCAAGTTTTATTGATGATATTGTTAACAGCATCGCCTACCGGTATCAAGTTTGACTGATAATATTGTTAACAGCATCCCCTACAGGTATCAAGTTTTATTGATAACATTGTTAACAGCATCCCCTACCGGAATCAGGTGTGTGATTTTGGGTAGGTAACAACATCGCCCACCCGTACTTAGTGTGTGGCTTGACGTTGGTAATAACATTTCTCACCTGTACCTTGTGTGTGGCTTCACTTTGGAAACAACATTGCATATCTGCATCACGTGTTGGTTTAACGTTGATAACAACATTGAATATCTGCATCACGTATGTGCATCACGTGTTGGTTTAACGTTGATAACAGCATTGAATATCTGCATCACGTGTTGGTTTAACGTTGGTAACAACATTGAATATCTGCATCACGTGTTGGCGTGACGTTTGTAACAACAACAAATATCTGCATCACGTGTTGGTTTAACGTTGGTAACAACATTGAATATCTGCATCACGTGTTGGCGTGACGTTTGTAACAACAACAAATATCTGCATCACGTGTTGGTTTAACGTTGGTCACAACACTGAATATCTGCATCACGTGTTGGTTTAACGTTGTTAACAACATTGAATATCTGCATCACGTGTGTGGCTTGACGTTGGTAACAACATTGAATATCTGCATCACGTGTTGGCGTGACGTTTGTAACAACAACAAATATCTGCATCACGTGTTGGTTTAACGTTGGTAACAACACTGAATATCTGCATCACGTGTTGGTTTAACGTTGGTGACAACATTGAATATCTGCACCACGTGTGTGGCTTGACGTTGGTAACAACATCGCCTACCTGCTCCACACACGAGAACTGTAGCTCCCAGGTGGACGTTGACACGGTTACAAGCGTGGACAGCAACAGCCAGAGGCTGCAACATGGCTCCCTCCTCCATACTCACGTTGTCGGGAAGTCTGAGGTTGTAAAACGTAACATATTGTAGCACAGCACAGCACAGCAAAGAACAGCATGACATTATTGCATTACCATTACAGTATCTGCCTATCACTTAAAGTTGCAGAATGTTCCCCATAGTATTGTGAAGAATGCAAGAAGACAGTTTGAGTAACTTACTTGAAGCAGAAATCTGCTGCATGGACGAAGTACCTGGTGAGTGTACCATGGTCAGGAGGCGTGGCACAGTACTTTATCTTCCCACACAGGTTGTAGCGGCCAGTCTTACACTGCCGACACGTGAGACACGGGACACCTGGCTCAATGGCAACCCGGTCACCTGTACACGTGAAGTTGAATATGCAGTAAGAGTGCTCGGGTTGTAGCTTTGAATTTGTTAATAAGGCGTGTCATCACAATGCGATAATGTGTGATGTTATTGTTATCAACAGGTTGTTATTATGGTGATGAAACTGTTCTCCAGTCATGTTTGACACCTACCAACTTTAAGGGATACGACACCCTCTCCTACTTTGGAGACCACACCACTGGGTTCGTGTCCCATGACCATTGGTTTGGTGACCACCATGTCGCCAATACGACCGTTCTGCCAGTAGCTGACATCAGAGCCACATATGCCAACATCGTGGATGCAGATCTGCACTTCTGGAAACATGGACATACGTAATCGTTTTTATAGTATCTCCCCTCACTCGAACTCCCCACACTTGCCATGCTACATATATACTGTCAATAAAACGTTAAGCGCCACTCAGTATATTTTGCCAATATAGGTTGTCTCATAGGAAATCTTTCAGAAAAAAAAACTATCATAATTTGTTTTAGTACTTTTAGTTTAAAACAAAACCATTATGGAAATTATCTTTTAATTTAGACAGGATGTATGCGCTTTTGGAAAACATGCATTTTGTTTTCCTCAACAAGGTTACCTTCTGTTGAAAAGTGAAATTCAGAAATGACTGTTATATGGTCACATGATTGTCATTTTTGACAAGTGAAACCTACGTTGAATAGTGTTGTATGAGCAGAATAGGAATAGTTATTTTTCTTTAAAAAGCAATGCCATCATATCTTTAACAATATTTCCTTTAATTGTGAATACAAATGTTAATGATATCCCTAAATCAGTTACAAGATGAACCTTCTCTAACTATGGATTGGTCCTCCCAATTATTGTAGCCTAGCATTTCCACAGCTTCACACCTTAGTTTTGAAATAGGCTGGCGCTTACCTTTTTATTCTCGGTATATAATAAGATATACACGCACTTTACTCTAATGCCTTTCCTTCCCAAGGGTAAATACTATTGATATACGCAATGTGTCTTTAGCTGGGAATGTCCACCAGTCGTACACCACGATAAATAGTCTACCTCCGTATCCTGGTTCAGGTATCGGGCGATTCTCCTGGGAAAAAAAAAAACCATCACTATTATGTGATACCAAACACGTTGATTAATATAGAGCACAGTTAATACAAAACCCAAACTTTACCAACATGGACCAACAAAAGGTCTACAAAAGCAGGCCACTACAAAAAGTTGTTTCAACAACACTACAAACACACACATGAAGTATATGCTGTCACTACCCTTGTTTCTACTTTGTCAGGTCTCTGGTGCACTTACCGACTTCAAGACAAACCTACACACTATAGTTATACCAACGCTACATACTGTAGTCACACTAACACTATATAGAGGATATTATATGAGTGCTCATGTCATATTATGTTTACGACACGAGTGCATAAATGTTGGTATTTCCCGAGCGAGAGCGAGGGATATGCCGACATTTAGGCACGAGTGTTGTAAACATAGTATGATATGGGCACGAATATAATGTTCTGTTTATTACCGAAGTCGTCAAATTGAGGAAAATAAACTCAAATCTACTTTCGTCGCCGTCGCCGCATGTAGAATGCAACGTCACAGAAGAAACGTGGCGTCAAAGCCTTGTTCATGACTTCACGTCACCATGACAAATTGATATGTTGCCCTAGGGCATCGTATGAAAAATATGAACTCCGATATGTTCGCCCTCGTAGGTAATAAAAAGTGTTATTAAACCTACATTCAATACTACATGTGAACGATACTACACATAAAGCCACGTAAACTAAAGCCATGTCAGTACTACACACAATACTAAAGCCATGCCAGTATTACACACTAAAACCATATCACTACTACCTACTAAAGCCATTTCAACACTACACAATAAAGCCATGTCAACACTACACACTAAAGCCATGTCAATACTACACAGTAAACCCATACCAATACTACACACTAACGCAATGTCAATACTACACACTAAAGTCATGACAACACTACACACTAAAGCCAGCCAATACTACACACTAAAGCCATGCCAGTATTACACACTAAAGCCATGTCAACACTACACACTAAAGCCATGTCAGTACTTCACAGTAAACCCATACCAATACTACACACTTACGCAATGTCAATACTACACACTAAAGTCATGACAACACTACACACTAAAGCCAGCCAATACTACACACTAAAGCCATGCCAGTATTACACACTAAAGCCATGCCAGTATTACACACTAAAACCATGTCACTACTACCTACTAAAGCCATTTCAACACTACACAATAAAGCCATGTCAACACTACACACTAAAGCCATGTCAATACTACAATACCAATACTAAAGCCAATGTCAATACTACACACTAAAGCCATGTCAACACTACACACTAAAGCCATGTCAGTACTACACAGTAAACCCATACCAATACTACACACTAACGCAATGTCAATACTACACACTAAAGTCATGACAACACTACACACTAAAGCCAGCCAATACTACACACTAAAGCCATGCCAGTATTACACACTAAAGCCATGCCAGTATTACACACTAAAACCATGTCACTACTACCTACTAAAGCTATTTCAACACTACACAATAAAGCCATGTCAACACTACACACTAAAGCCATGTCAGTACTACACAGTAAACCCATACCAATACTACACACTAACGCAATGTCAATACTACACACTAAAGTCATGACAACACTACACACTACTACACACTAAAAAGCCATGCCAGTATTACACACTAAAGCCATGTCAACACTACACACTAAAGCCATGTCAGTACTTCACAGTAAACCCATACCAATACTACACACTTACGCAATGTCAATACTACACACTAAAGTCATGACAACACTACACACTAAAGCCAGTCAATACTACACATTAAAGCCATGCCAATACTACACACTAACGCAATGTCAATACTACACATTAACGCAATGTCAATACTACGCAAAAAAAACATGTCAATACTACACACTAAAGCCATGTCAATTCTACACACTAAAGCCATGTCAACACTACACAGTAAAGCAATGTGAATACTACACACAAACGCAATGTCAATACTACAGACTAAAGCCATGTCAATACTACACAATAAAGCCATGTCAACGCTACACAGTAAAGCAATGTGAATACTACACACTAACGCAATGTCAATACTATACACTAACGCAATGTCAATACTACACAATTAGCTATGTCAATACTACACAATAAAGCTATGTCAATACTACAAACTAAAGCAATGTGAATACTACGCATTAACGCAATGTCAATCCTACACACTAACGCAATGTCAATACTACACAATAAGCCATGTCAATACTACACAATAAAGCCATGTCAATACTACACACTAAAGCAATGTCAAAACTACACATTAACGCAATGTCAATACTACATAATAAGCCATGTCAATACTACACAATAAGCCATGTCAATACTACACAATACAAGCAATGTCAATACTACACATTAAAGCAATGTCAAAGCAATGTCGCATACAATGCACACATAAAGCAATGTCAATGCTACACAATAACGCATGTCAATACTACACATTAACGCAATGTCAATACTACTGCACAATAAAGCCATGTCAATGCTACACATTAAATGCCATGTCAATGACTACTACACTGCTGAAGCCATGTCAACACTACACACTAAAGCCATGTCAACATCCGTCAATGTAAAGCAATACCCAATACTACACACTAACGCAATGTCAATACACACACTAACGCAATGTCAATAACTGTCATCACACACTCAAAGCCATGTCATCACTACACACTAAAGTCAATGTCAATACTACACACTAAAACCATGTCAACACTACATGTCAATGTCAATACTACACATAACGCAATGTCAATACTACTACAACATGTCAATACTACCCAATAATAATGTCAATACACATTAACATTAATGTCAATGCTACTGATAACGCCAATACACACAATAACGCAATGTCAATACTACATAATCAATACTACACAATAAAGGCAATGTCAATACTCAATGCTACACACTAAAGCCCAATGTCAATACTACACACTAAAGCAATGTCAATACTACACAGTAAAATACTACATGATGTCAATACTACACAATAAAGCAATGTCAATACTACACATAACGCTGTCAATACTACACACTAAAAGCCATGTCAACACTACACACTAAAGCCATGTCAACACTACACACCACAGTAACTACACACACACAAAGCAATGTCAATACTACACACTAACACAATGTCAATGTTACACAATAAAGCTTCATGTCATGCACACACACTAAAGCCATGTCATCACTCACACACTAAAGTCATGTCAATACTACACTAAAACATGTCAACACTACACACTAAAGCAATAATACTACACATTAACACAATGTCAATGCTACAATAAGCCATAATGCTACACACAAAACAAATGTCGATACTACACACTAAAGCAATGTCAATACTACACACTAACGCAATGTCAATGCTACACAATAAAGCCATGTCAACACTACACACTAAAGCCATGTCAACACTACACACTAAAGCCATGTCAACACTACACAGTAAAGCAATACCAATACTACACACTAACGCAATGTCAATACTACACACTAACGCAATGTCAATGCTACACAATAAAGCCATGTCATCACCACACACTAAAGCCATGTCATCACCACACACTAAAGTCATGTCAATACTACACACTAAAACCATGTCAACACTACACACTAAAGCAATGTCAATACTACACACTAACGCAATGTCAACACTACACACTAAAGCAATGTCAATACTACACATTAACGCAATGTCAATACTACACAATAAGCCATGTCAATACTACACAATAAAGCAATGTCAATACTACACACTAAAGCAATGTCAATACTACACATTAACGCAATGTCAATACTACACAGTAACGCAATGTCAATACTACACAATAAGCCATGTCAATACTACATAATAAGCCATGTCAATACTACACAATAAAGCAATGTCAATACTACACAATAAAGCCATGTCAACACTACACACTAAAGCCATGTCAACACTACACACTAAAGCCATGTCAACACTACACAGTAAAGCAATACCAATACTACACACTAACGCAATGTCAATACTACACACTAACACAATGTCAATGCTACACAATAAAGCCATGTCATCACCACACACTAAAGCCATGTCATCACCACACACTAAAGTCATGTCAATACTACACACTAAAACCATGTCAACACTACACACTAAAGCAATGTCAATACTACACATTAACACAATGTCAATACTACACAATAAGCCATGTCAATACTACACAATAAAGCAATGTCGATACTACACACTAAAGCAATGTCAATACTACACATTAACGCAATGGCAATACTACACAATAAAGCCATGTCAACACTACACACTAAAGCCATGTCAACACTACACACTGAAGCCATGTCAACACTACACACTAAAGCCATGTCAACACTACACAGTAAAGCAATACCAATACTACACACTAACGCAATGTCAATACTACACACTAACGCAATGTCAATGCTACACAATAAAGCCATGTCATCACCACACACTAAAGCCATGTCATCACCACACACTAAAGTCATGTCAATACTACACACTAAAGTCATGTCACTACTACACATTACACCCATGTCAACACCACACACCAAAGCCATGTCAACACTACACAGTAAAGACATGTCATCACATGTCTTTGAAAGCCATGTCAGTACTACGCTATACCCGTGTCAACACCGCACACTGAAGCCTTGCAAATACCACACACTAAAGCCATGCAAATACTACACACTACACCCATGTCAATACTACACACTACACCCATGTCAATACTACACACTACACCTATTTCAATACTACACAGTACACCCATGTCAATACTACACACTACACCCATGTCAATACTACACACTACACCTATTTCAATACTACACAGTACACCCATGGCAATACTACACACTAAAATCATGTCAGTAGCACACACTAATGCCATGCAAATACTACACACTACACCCATGTTAACACCACACACTAAAGCCATATTAACACTACACACTAAAGCCAACAAGTGTCATACACATTAACAATAAGAGCCATACACAACCTCATTGAGAGCCATGCACAATCACAACAGCTGCCATACACAATCACATTGAGTGTCATACACAATCACAGTAAGTGCCATACACAATCACAGTAAATGCCATACACAATCACATTGAGTGTGGCATTTCAATCACATTGAGTGTCATACACAATCACAGTAAGTGCCATACACAATCACAGTAAGTGCCATACACACTCACAACAGCTGCCATACACAACCTCGTTGAGTGCCATGCACATTAACAATGGGTGCCATACACAACCTCGTTGAGTGCCATGCACATTAACAATGAGAGCCATGCACAACCTCGTTGAGTGCCATGCACATTAACAATGAGAGCCATACACAACCTCGTTGAGTGCCATGCACATTAACAATGAGAGCCATACACAACCTCGTTGAGTGCCATGCACATTAACAATGAGAGCCATACACAACCTCGTTGAGTGCCATGCACATTAACAATGAGAGCCATACACAACCTCGTTGAGTGCCATGCGCATTAACAATGAGAGCCATACACAACCTCGTTGAGTGCCATGCACATTAACAATGAGTGCCATACACAATCAAACGAGCTCCATACACAATCAAAATGAGTGCCCTACAAAATCCCAATCACAATGAATTGCATACACAATCACGAGAGCCATACACAACGAAAGCGAGTGCCATACACAATGACAAAGGGTGCCATACACAACCAAAGCGAGTGCCATACACAATGACAACGGGTGCCATACACAACCAAAGCGAGTGCCATACACAACTACAAAGACTGTGCTATACACAATCACAACGAGTGCCATACACAATCTCAATGTACACATAATCACGATGAGTACCACACACAATCAGACTTATGTTTACTCCTCACCGGTCAAGGCGAATGAAGTCGTGACAGTACATGATTCGTAGATGGTGTACATTTAGGAGTTTAATATATATTACTATTAAGCCCGGCAACATATATTTTCATGAAAGTCACTCCGAAAGTGAACATTGACTGAAAGAACAATACGTGTAGTTATTTAGTGATACGTGTTAAAACTAAAGTATGTAATCTGCGGCGTTGCCGTTCTGGGCGTATGACACCAGTAAACATGGCATATGGTGGAAAATCCCAAAGAATCCCTGACGTTTGTTTAACCTTGACACTTGCATAAAAGAATACATGAAAGAAACTTTCACAAACACTAGGGGTTACATACCAGTCGTAGATCTTGCTTGCCGTAGAGAACCAGAGATAGGTTTTCATCAGCCATTGTGAAATATTGAGGTCAGTGTCAAAGGTCTCTGCATGTTTAGCACGTTTCAGTAGATCCACTCGTAGTACACTCGTAGATCCACTCGTAGTACACTGATGGTGGTACGCATGCTGGATTACACTTGGAACATTCTTGATTGAATTCTAGTCACGTGTCCATGGAAATACGTTTTCATCTGATGTCCACAGAACAGCGCAGGTCGGTGGTTCATTTCCAAGGTAGAGTAGTGTGTCGTCAGATCCTTCGCGAACCCAAGGCTAAAATGACTGACACAAAAAAACACAACATTGACAACAATATGATACACTGTGTTGTCAACTAACAAGATGAAGCATTTGCTATACAGAACCATATACTAGTATATCGCCATTAGTATCTACACAACGAGATGCAAAGTGATCACAGTACACATTATTTACTAAAGAAATTGTTTTTATACATGTAAAAGTCAGCAACATTCACTACAAAACTATTCGTCAACAAATCTTGATATAATAGCTGGTATTGAATAATTGGCATGCTTTGGAATGATTTGTTTAGTTTGGTTGTTGTTTAAAGCTGCACCCAGCAATATTCCAGCTATATGGCGGCGGTTTGTAAACAATCGCGTCTGGACTGGATAATCCAGTGATCAACAGCATGCGCATCGGTCTACACTACTGGGATACGATAACATATGTCAACGAAGTCAGCGAGCCTTACCTCCCGATCCCCTTAGTAGCCTCTTACGACAAGCATGGGTTACTGAAGACCAATTCTATCCCGGATCTTCACGGGTCATGCTATGGAATGAAGTAGGAAGTGATAGTTGCTAGCAAAATTTTGATAAATAATTTAGTCTATTGCACACGCGCACACTCACTCACTCACTCACTCATTACTCGCAGACATCCGACCTTCGGGTATTCGAACCAAGTCACCATGTGTGGGTATGCTCAATATTGATATTCTATTTTCAATAACGCAACCTTTTACACAAGGCATTTTACAACTGTACTACATGTGGTGTAATGTCAAAAAGGGATTGGTGGGGGCCAAGTTTGCTGATATGCCGTTGTCTGACAGTCGGGGAGCTAGGTAATTACGAAACTGTAGAAACTCTTTAAAGAAATATGAAAATGTATTAAACGTGTTTAAGTGTACATTAAGCTTGAACATAGATGAAAGATGAACATATGCATTGTTATCATCATCAGCGTTGGTTTGAGCGCTGTCCTGTTGAAACAGCTCCCTCTGGCGGTTAAAAATGGGAGGGGTGAGTTCTCATGATTTGGTCGATGTACCGATTTGCTGTAAGATTACGCTGACCATCCACTAGCTGTGATCTACCCGTTTAGGACATTTCTCCCAACACCATGACCAATCGGTCCACCTGGCGCAAATCGTTCGTGTCAACGTCGATAGACACGTTGTCTCCCACTCCGTCGTTGCAGGAGGAAACGCGATTCATCGCTAAACCAAACACGCCGCCAGTTCCCCATCTTCCATGCCTGTACCATGTTGCACCGTTGGACATCGTTGTCGGTGTAGTCAGGACAGGTCCAACTTCTGATCGATATCCTCGAATTCCCACTTCTCTCAGGCGATTTCTAATGGTTTGGTCGGAAATTCTTCGAAGACCAGGCACCTGTCCTACAGTGTCCGTTGCTGTGGCACATCTGTGAGACACCCGGATGAATCGGTCCTAAGCAGGACTGTCACTCTTGGTCGTCTACTTCTGCCGACGATCTTGGGTTGAATTAAAGAGGGTGTATCGATGCCATAATCGATATATGGTGTTGTGGTGGACGTTGAAGTGTATGTTGGTCAGTAGCATTCAATCTTGGCATTTGTTGTCTCCTTCTAAAAATGGCTTAAACGTTTATTGTTTTAAGAGTGTATAATCGATGTCTCTACTGATATTTCCGACACATTGGATGGAAACCATTCATGTATCGTTTTTACTTTTATGACAAACGTTTACAAACACATTTGGGATGCATTTGCGCGCTATACACAACCACGACATGAGTAACGGGATTGAAACATAGGAATTGTCTTAATGACGTTTGCTGTCAAAATATATCGAAATGAACTGCTGAAAACGCCTGTGCGTTTCTTTTTTTGAAGAGTGTATTTTTAGGAGTGTATCCTGCACTTTGTGACTGATCTATCAGCTGCATTACTCATTTTACTCTATGCAGATGACACTACATGGTTTCAAACAAATCCTTTTTGACATGCAATAAAATTTTAATAATTATGAAAGGTAGTGTAACTGGAAAGTAAATGTCTCATATACAATGTCTATATTATTTAGAGGAAGTAGGAAAGATGAAAGCTTTCCTTTACGAAAACATGAAAAAATAGTTAGGAATTTGCAAACAGAATTAAAATGGTATTGCCTAGTATTATTAATGAGGACCAAAAGGGTTTTGTCACGGGAAGATATATTGGCGTGGAAACTAGACTTATATATGACCTAATGGAATACACCGAAACTTGCCAGATACCTGGCCTACTTCTTATTGATTTTTAAATAGCCTTCGATTCCATAGATAGACACTACCTCAGCAAGGTATTGAAAATTTTAAATTTGGACCCAGTATCTCACATCGGATAGAAACGGATAGAGAGTCTTGGTAAATGGATTTCCGTTAACTCATTTTAAAATAGGCTGGGGATGCCGCCAGGGGGACCCGTTAGCGTCGTACATCTCTCTGTTGTGTGTAGAAATCCTGGGTATCATGAAACAAAACAACAAAAATATAAAGGGGATCAAACTGGGAAATATAGCATATCTTCCATCACAGGTGGCAGATGATACAACTCTACATTAGACGGATCAGAGAAAAGAGTCTATGCAGTTTTGAATACTTTAGAACTATTTGTCCATTTTTCAGGACTGAAAGTCAACGTAGATAAAACTAAACTAATATGGATAGGCTCCAAAAAGAGATCCCGATAAAGATGTGTAAAGAATGGAATTTTGACTGGTCACAAACAGACTTCACGCTTTTGGAAATACATTTTGATACTGATCTTGGTAATATTGTTGAAATAAACTACAACGAAAATCTATCTCAGATTGAAAGGCAAATGAACATTTGTCACCTCGTACCTTAAACCCGTACGGAAGAAATACTGTTCTTAAATCACTTCTATTACATAGCTTAACCACCTATTCTCATCTCTACCAAATCCAAAAAATGTGTCTTTGAAAGACTTAAAGGTCACATAAACCCTAGGGGGTACAAATACATAAATCACTAACTGGCATCGTTATAAATGAAACCCCGTCATTAAAACTACTCATTTCGACCTTTAATTGACTTAAATCGACCTTTTTGACAACAGTGCACAGAACGAAATTTCAACCAATCAGAGCGGCGCGACTCTGTGACGTCATATGAGGACTAGCTTTGTGGGCCGATGCAGAATTCATTTACATTTTAGGGGGTAAATTATCTTGTTTACAGGCTTGTATAAACCTGAAATCGTGACAATTGTTGTGGAAAATGAAAGCTATATGTTCTCACAATCTACTGGCATTTAATTTTGTCTCCTGCTTTGCCTAGTTTCCGAGTTACAACTTGTTTTCATAGACGCTTCTGTCACAATTGATTGGTGTCGTTAGGCCCTATTTGTATAATGACTGATCCAAATTGATCCCATTTCTGTGTTTTTTTACCTCGATATTTAATCATGTCATGTAAAAATCTGTTTGTATTCTCAAAACAGTGTCGGCCCATAAGTTTTCACATGCAATACAGCAATTAATACTCCCTTGTTGTAACCCGTGTTAGGTGGTATAAACCTACACATGTTATTTGTCATCATTCACTTGATGGTCAGTTAATGAATTTATAACAGGTATAATTAGTGGTAACACACTTAGATTACCCGACAAAGGTTCCCATTTGGCATTTCTTGTGTCTGGAGTAAATATTCAACATTATAAACATCGATCAAAGGATTAACCGATAACACGCTGATTGATTAATTACTTTTATCTTACACAGCGGATTTGTCAAAAGGTAGTGTTTATGTATGTAGATTTACTAATCTATACTGAATACACTCTGCCGTGTCGGTGTCTGCGTAAAACAACGTCCTTCTTTCAAAGGATTAACCGGCAATACATTGATTGATTGCCCATTATTGGCTAACTAAATTACTGTTTTAAAGAAAGGCGGACATTATGCAATTAGTTGCCAGGTGTGCTATCTTGGGTGACCAATGAGACTATACACCAATACCTGAAAAGATTTATCACTTTTTCGTATATTAAACTGTTAAAAGACACATCATTTGGAACAGTTTTGTGGATATTGATGGATACATTCCTCAAACAAGGTAATGGCCTGATATTGTTCCTATAACTTTAATCTGTTTTAATTTTAATATTTGCATTTTGTTTTTATTCATTTGTCGTAGCATTCAACAGAATCATTGTTTTCGCCGTGAAGTGTAATGAGACAGACAACATACACTAGGGTGTGTGTGCGAATTATGATTCACATTGGCAAACTATAAAATGTCTAGATATTACAGTTCTGTTATAAATTCACTATAAGTATCAGCAGATCGTCAGCTTTTTATTTAGTTTCAAAATGCATAAAAGTATGATAATAAACTAATTAGGATTATAAGACCAAATATAAAGACGCACATTGACTAGTATCTACATACTGGTGAGTGGACATTAACCATGTGAATGTAGCAAGAAATTTATCGCGCAGTATTGTGACTTCGACCCCCACCTCGCTTCCGTGGAAGAAATCGTTATGTTATAAGTTGTGTCATGCAAAATCCTTTTGGTTATGATTCCAATACATATTTAACTACGAGTAGAAAGTAGTTTTGATTTTCTAACTTGATGAAAACAAACTATAATCTCATTAATTCTAACAGGCTTTACGATTTTAAAAAATGGCGGCGCCCTGTCGGGAACATCCGCCAGTCTGTGGATAAATGCTATTTAGGTTTGTTTTCACCGAGTTACAAAATCAAAACTACTTTCTATTGGTAGTAAAATATGTATTTTATTGATGGCCAATAGGATTT